CGCATCTCTAGAATATGTGTTGTTGTGCTCTCCTGTGACCCAGGGATGCTGCCTGTCCTGGAAGGGTTCGAAAGGCCCCACATCCTTTCCTGAGTGGCCTCACACTCCTCAAGAGCTTTGCATTCTTATGTCCCGTTTGTATAACGCTTCTGAGTTCTTCTGGCTCCCACGTAAGGCCGCTGTCGGCACGGCTTCTCCGACAGCATCCTTCCCATTTGCAACAGCCCGTGTCTTCTCTGTGAGTTCAGAGGGCCGGGCCTGTTAGGACTGTGCATGAAGTAGCTGCAGGGAGTTCCAGTCCCGGGTCGGAAGTGCTTCTCTACGTTACAGACCCTGCTCTCTAGCAGCGCAGCGAATATGAAGTTGCTGTATTGCCGAATTTTGGATGGGGAAGGTGCTCTTCTATTATTAGACATCAGCATGTTCTCCTGGATTCCTTTATTTGTGAATCCATCCTCCCTCCCTCTCTCCCACACACACGTACCCTTTTGAATTGCTCAACCTCAGATGCATACTTAGAAATGCAGGTATGTATTTGAGCATCGGGAAAGACAGTAATTTTAGAGCCCACATAATCTGCCACTCTTCTTTCAGCCTTTTCTTAACTGTACACGTGTGGCCTTTGAGAGGATGTCACTCCAGATGTTGCTCATCTGGTAGTTGAGGGGATGGCACTTCGTAGCATGTGTAGACATGTGCTGTCCTGGAGGGGAGCCCTGTCTGACTCAACAACAGTGTCCTCTGCTTCTCTTAAACACGGGGCCTGGAAAAGTGCGTTTTCTGTGGCTTCTTCCTGCCAGTGGCCAGTTGCTAGGATGTAAAAAGAGAAGTGTGACCCAGATTCAACTCTAACTGTAGCTGTCCAATGCGGATGTTGTTAATAACCTTTAAAAGCACGTACGTGAACTTTACACCCTGTTAGTTTATAGACGACTTGGTAAATTTTCAACATGATTTCTGAGCCTTTGCCGAGTTGGGAGGGGGGAGAAATAAAGGAAGCAGATAGTCTCCTAAGACATGAGGCTGGAATCTTCCACATCCCTGTGCTCCCTTGGGCTCATTCACTCTCTAACTGTGCAAAGACATTAAAGCCCCCTCATTAATTCGTCTTTGAGTAGACCCATCTTTATGTGGCCCTCGCTGCCCAAAGCTGAAGGGCTATTTCTTTTCTTCCAGAGGCAGGATTTTTTTTTTTCTTTCTTGAAAACAATTAGGAAATTGTAAGACCCGGGGGGATTGTGGACACACGTTCGTGCCACCGTGGGTGAGTGGTGTGCTTGAAAAAGCCTTGGCCAGTTCTCTTACCTGATGTGCCACTTGGTAGGCAAGCTGTTTTATTTCTCTAAAGCCCAAGGTTTTTCATCAGAAAAAAAAGATGGTAAGAATATGGACATAAAAAATAAATGGCAGCTGTTATTGGGATTATTTTTTAAATGTTCTTCCCACAAAAGCAGTTCATCAGAAGATAAACCCATTAGATTTCGTGTCTTGAATGCATACTTATTTGCATTAGTTTCTTTCCCCAAAGACTCTTAACTCTAAATGGCTTATAATTTCTTAACTTGTCTGTCTCTGAAAACAGGCAGAGTCCTCTCCCCCACCCCCATTAAGATGAGCCTCTATTTTTAGATGCAGTCCATCCCGGACATCACGGGGACCCAGAGCTGGGTGCTGTTAGGAGGTCAGGTTCTGTTGTGAGGACCTGGGTTCAGACTCCCGCTCTGCTGTCCAGGGCAACTCAGACTTTCTGAGCCTCGGTTTTCCTCATCTATAAAATGAATTTAATAATAGTACCCCTTTCACAGGTTTTTGGTGAGGCGGTCGAGGGCAACCTCAGCACCCTTTGTGCCATACTAAGCACTTATTAAAATGTGACTTCTCTTTCCTCTTTTCTCTAAAGTACAAATGTCAACTCTTTGAAATAACTCAAACTTTGCATCTCGTGAAAGTGCCTCGTAAGAGACACTGCTTCCTTAAGTGTGGAGTGCAGTATCACAGTGTTATATGGGGCGGTCACAGGCACGGAACATATGAGCATTTTATCTTTTTTTCTTTTTAAGTTTATTTATTTAGAGGGAGAAAGCGAGCTAGGGAAGAGCAGAGAGAGGGGGGAAGAGAGAGAGAGAGAGAGAGAGAGAGAGAATGAGAATCCCAAGCAGGCTCCGTGCTGTCACCGCAGAGCCCAGCACGGGGTTCGAACTCACAAACTGTGAGATCATGACCTGAGCTAAAACCAAAAGTCGGACACTTAGCCAGCTGAGCTCCCCCCACCAAGGGCCCCCTGATGAGCATTTTGTAGAGAGATTCACAGTGATTTCTAAAAAGGGTATCTTCTGTTAGTGGTCAGAACTACACTTCTGGACAATGTAAAAGACATGAATTGGTTTAAAGAAAACTATTAAGTAGAAGTGCAGATGGGACATGGCTGTGACAAATGTGTGGAGGCAGAGTATGAGTGACGGGCATGGTGGAAGTAACGTCACACTTGTGGTCTGAAAACTCGGGGTTTTACCTCAGTGTCCCGTTAGGTTAGAGAATTCAGTAGACATTAGCATGAGATGGGACTCTAGCACCTTCTGGCTTTGTGACTTTGGACAACTTAATTCATCTTTTCCTGTCTCCTTCCTTTTCTGCAAATATTTTTGAAGGCCTATTTTCTCATCTTAAACGTGTAGATGCTGCTTTCTGGGGTTTGTATAAAGATGCGGTGCAAAGGGAGAAGATATTGAAAGCATATGTATCTTATCTACTGGTATGTCCATCATACAAACTTATACCTGGTGTAGCAAGTGCTCAAGAAACTAGAGTCCTTTGTTATTTGGGGCTTGTGTTCACAAGTGACGGGACCCCCACTTCATCCATCTTGAGGCAGACATGTGCTCAATCTACAGGAAGGGTAGCCTTGGGTGCAGCTGGAGGTCAGGACTCCAGTGCCACCAGGACCCTCTCCAGCTCATATGTCTGATGGTTTGTGTGTGTTACCAGACTGTCTGTCTGTCCAGATTCCTCCACCGAGCTAGAAACAGCACCACTGGTGGTCACCGGGCTCCTCTCTCAGAAAGGATCAGCACACTGTGGTCTGTTTCCCAAGCCCAGAAATCCTGTGAGGGGCCTGGGCCCAGTGCATGTCAGGTGCCCACCCTCCCAGCCACCAGGGTCCAGAGGATGGGAGCCGAAGGGGAAGGGCAGCGCCAGTTGGGCCCCGGATGGAGAGTGGCAGGAAAGACCGTCTTGCAGGGCAAGGGTGTGATCGGCACGTGCTGCCGCTGCACTTACCCTTTCCTTCTCTTCATGCGCCCTTCATGGGCAGGAGTCTGTACTCAGTGTGGCCCTCAGGTTTCTCCTCTGAGGTTTTGAGGTTTGGATGATGTCATGGGTGTGGGTGTACATTTAATGGCCTTACATTTTATATATACAAGTTCATGATTACTGCTGCTGCTGCTCATGCCCTCCAGGTTTCAACACACTGTCCACGGGCTCCCAGTCTCTGGATCGCCAACCCTCAGGGAAGTAGGGGGGGTGGGTAAAGTTACTTTAAGGGGCGCCTGGGTGGCTTAGTTGGTTAAGCGTCCGACTTTTGCTTAGGTCATGATCTCGCGGTTCGTGGGTTTGAGCCCTGCGTCAGGCTCTGTGCTGACTGCCAGCTTAGAGCCTTGAGCCTGTTTTGGAGTCTGTGGCTCCCTCTTTCTCTGACCCTCCACTGCTCACGCTGTCTCTCTCTCTCCTAGAAATAAAAAAAATTATAAAAAAAAAAAAAAGTTAGGGCAGCATGCCATATGTATTTCCATATTGAATACAACCCTTCTTAAATTTGATTTCAAATTGAAATACACATTATGAAAAGAGTACATATCCTAAGTGCACGGGTCTTCACAAACAGGGCACAATTGTAGTCCAGCCCCTGGATTAAAAATCAACATTGACTGGGGTGCCTGGGTGGCTTAGTCGGTTAAGCGTCCGATTTTCACTTAGGTCATGATCTCGCTGTTCGTGGGTTTGAGCCCCGCTTCGGGCTCTGTGCTGACTGCCAGCTCAGAGCCTGGAGCCTGTTTCAGTCTGTGACTCCCTCTCTCTCTGACCCTCCCCTGCTCACGCTGTCTCTCTCTCTCCTAGAAATAAATAAAACATTTAAAAAAAAAAAAATCAACATTGACATTCCGCCAGGGACCCTCCCACACACAACTTGTAGTACAAGTGGATGATGTAGATGGGTTTCTTCACCATCTAAGAAATATTTAAAAGCATTACCAGCATCATGGTAGCATTTTCCATGCTGTGCTTTGTTAGTAAACAAAATTTTAAAATATAACTGGCCTTATGTCACAAGTCTTTCTGGTTCTAAAAGGAATCCTCAGGGATGCCTGTGTGGCTCAGTCGATTAAGCATCTGATCTTGGGGTTCCTGGGTTCAAGCCCCGCATCACGGTCTGAGCTGACAGCTCAGAGCCTGGAACCTGCTTCGGATCCTGTGTCTCCCTCTCTCTCTGCCCCTCCCCTGCTCGTGCTCTGTCTCTCTCAAAATAAAGATAAAATGTTAAAACAACAACTTTAAAAGGAATCCTCAGGTCACTCTTATGGCACCCTTTGAATGTTTTCTTCCCAGCTGGAATTTCCATCAGGTGATAAAATGTGTTCGGGTCCCTCAGACAGGTGTCATTCACATCGTAGGCCTTCTCCCTTCCCTGGCTGCACCTTCTCCCAGGGACAGCCAGCCCTCCCCTATCGCAAGGGGCTTTCCCGTGCAGAGCTTGCTGTGAAAACCGACTGACTGCCATGCTGTCCGCTTCAGCCAGCACTGAGCTCTGTGGGACAACTCTTTTGATCCCCGAAACAGAACTCCTCAGATCATGGGTCCTTCCAGTCTCTGAAATGGTTCCCTGTTCCTAAATATGTCCCCGTGGGTATGTACCGCTGTGGCGGTCCGCGAAACAAAGGTCGTTACGGATGAGTTTTAATTCGCCAACTTTTCCAACATCTTCTTCCCTCGTTTTTCTCTTTTAGGCTCTAGACCAAGATAGAACAGCCTTACAGAAAGTGAAGAAGTCTGTCAAAGCAATATATAATTCCGGCCAAGGTAAGTACTTCCCAAAGCAGACGGCATGAATTATAGATCACATCTGCAGTCTTCTCTGTTACCTGTAAGAGGGTAGGTTTATAGAAGACGATACAAAAGAAAAAATAAGTAGGTCAAAGAAGTTCTGTTTTTCCCCTTTTTCTGTTTCTTCTCCACCTAAACCAGTTACTGTTCCCAGAAGTAAAACGATGAAAGAACATTAGCTGCAGTGGGTTTTTACACATTTAAAACCGTAGCAGTTTAGCCACAGGTGACTTATGAGATAGGCAGCATCTGTTTGTGTCGTTGGCCAGTCTGGCATTCAGGGGTCTCCGTTAAAGGCCTGAGGATCATTCCTTCTGCCGCACACAGTACGAAATGGGCATGTACACTTGGAAATGGGCATGAGTGCCAGGCACCGGGTGAGAGGGGGGGTAGGGAACGAGGCTGAACCGACGCCTGAACAGACCTGCCAACCAGAGTCTGTTCCCGTGGCTGCAGATGTGCCCGGTAACCGTGGAACTGACTGTTTTTACGTGGTCTGCCCACCTTGTCATCTTGGCGACCGAGTATGTTGTCCGTGGATAAGAAGAAATAAGCCCAGTCGGGATAACAGTGGGTCACACAAGGAATGGTAGGTTCCCCCGCCCCAGGGAAGGCGAGGCGAGGCTTGGAAGCGTAAGATGAGTTTCAAGGTCTGTGACATCCCATCTTTCATTGTCACGATTGCAGGACGAGAGAACGTCTGAGGAATCAGTTTGTAGCGTAGCAAAACCCGCGGGGCGGCAGCAGAGTACGTGGAAAGGGTGCAGGCTTTGAAGTGGGACAGGTGTGCGTTTGCACCCTCCCTGCCTCTTACTAAGCAGTGTGGCCTCAGGCCGGTTGCTTCGCTGTTTTGAACCTCCATCTTCTCTTTAAAGCAGAGACTGTGGTATTATTACGGGGTCATCGAAGGGAGTTAATTAGCTAATATCTGTAAAGGGCCTGTCACCTTGGGGAAGTTCCGTAAACACCATGCATTCATATTTTATATAAATGTTATATTTTATTTATATTCATACTCCTAATTGTCATAAAATTATGGAGTTGAAAGGAACATTGAAAAGGGAAAACCTCGGCCGTCAGATGCTTTACGGCCCTCCTGTCATCAGAGCTGGGAATCTCAGCGAACTCTAATTGTCTCTCCTTCAAAGCTCTTGGGCCTGATTGTTAACACAGCCTGTATCCTGATTCCTCGACACCTCTCTCTAATTTCCATATTTCCAATAAGACACTAACCTCTAATTAAGACAGATAAATAGAGAATTGTCTAGTTACATAGTGATGGTTTAAATGTTTCCAGTGTTTTAAGTCTTGCCGTGAATGGTATAACTTCTGCCTTCCCTTCATACTCATTTACTCCCAAAATGGGGCAGCCCCTTTTGAGATCTTCGCTTTCTGGGGAGAGGTGAATTGGGGAGATAACTAGCCAGTAGCACAAGGGGGAGCTTCTGGGGTGCTGGTACTGTTCTCTTTCTTGGTTTGGGGATGATTACATAGTGCAGTTCAGTTTTTGATAATTCTTCAAATGTTACACTTAAGACTTATGTACTTTTTTGTATGGCTGCGGGTATGTTCTGTATCAGTGAAAGTATGTGTAAAATGTGTGTCTACAAGTAGGTTTATTGAATCATTGGTTGTGATCATCCAGATTCGTTTTGGAAAAACAAATGGGGACCTTAAAAATAAACAGTAGTATATTTGTTTCATAAAATAATAGTTTTGTGAGAAAAAAAACTCAGGTGGTATAGATCACTTATTGTCACTACTTGTTAAGTAAATTCCTTAACTTCCACAGATCTTAAATTGCCTCACCACAAAATGAGAAAATAATCATCTAATTTGCAGAGCCTTGTGTGGGTAAAATGAGGTAATATTTAAGGCCACCTAACAAACTTCCTGACATTAATAGGTGGTTCACACATGGGGAAATGATAGCTAGCTCGATGGCATGGGTTCCTTCTCTGCATTAATTCAGTCTTCTGCACCTGGCACTGGACCGGCCCGATTTTCTAAAGAGCTTACTGAGCCGTTACCCTCCTGAGGAGCAAGCGTCCAGTCTCCGCAGCGTTACAGTCTATGCTTGAAGCTCTCAGCTTGTGAGCCTCCGAAGGGAGACGCCTGACGTGCAGCTGTCCGTTGCTACCGTATTTGCTCTGCTGGGGCTCCACGTACCCCCTTTTCCCCCAATGCCCTTGCTCAGGATGCATTCCCTCCATGAGGCACCGTGAGCACAATCACATCCTTCAGCAGCCCATACAAGGGCTCTTTTTCTTGGTAGGGAAGTGCTTCATCTCCTTCATTAGAGGCGCTTCCTGGCTTCCTTGGTGGAGGGAGAGGCTGTCCGTGCATGTGTGTAAGGTAGAGAGTTTGAGAGTATGTGCAGTCTGGTTGCCATTTCCTCCATGAGATTGTTCTCGCCTTGTGGATGGGGCCCGCGGTGAGCTGAGCGTAACCCCCCCCCCACTGGATGAGGGGTTCCCCTGCGTACTTTGCCTTGCGTCTCTTCTGTCTAATAGAGTAGCTTCTAGTCACACGTGGCTTTTTAAATTCAAGTTCCTTAGTATCAAATGAGACTTAAAATTCAGGTCTCCAGCCCCAGGAGCCACAGTGTGATGTGCAGCTGCAGCGCTGGCCAGTGCAGACCCAGGACATTTCCATCATCCCAGGACATCGCTGTGCTGTGGGAGGAGAGCACACACCCTGTCGTATTCTAACCGCTGATTGGTCTCTGGCATTAGACCAGCGAGTGCCAACCCTGACTTTTCGCTAGACTCACCCAAAGAGCACTTAAAACACAAACACAGGGGTCCCTCAGGGCTGCACACCCAGAGCTGTTCTAGAATAAGGCCCAGGTGTTGGGATCATAATAAAATTACTCCCCAGGTGATGTGCAGCTAAAATGGAGAGCCACTACACCGACCCATGAACTACTTGAGGAGGGCTGGTACTATGTCTTTATCTCCATATTTTATGTGTCTGTCACCAAATACAGTTTGTTCAACAAACACTTATTGAGCACCAGTTCCGATACCATCCTGGGGGTTGCGTGTCTTAAACAAATCTCTGGAATCTCTGCCTTCATGAATTTTCCAGTTCAGTGGGAGAGATAACAGAAAGCACTTGGAATTTAGAAACTGGAAAGCTTACAAAGAGGGATCTGGTACATTCTGCCTGGGCGCTGAGTGGAACACCTCTTGGAGGAGGTGACGTTCAGGGGTGTTGATGCGTACGCAGCTAAGCTGAAGAAGCCTCTGAGGTAGGTCTACTCTTACCCCATTGGATCCCATTTTATAAGTGGTGAGACTGAAGCTTCAGGAGCCAGACTGACTTCTGCAAGGTGTCACACCTAACAGTAATGGACAAGAGTCCACTTATTCCAGCTCTCCTATATACAGCCACCCCGTACCTGTCGTCTGCCTGACACGTGGTAGGGGCTCATCTACATGTTGGCTACATAGGTCCCCGAGAAGCTTGCCATGAGCAGCTGTTGAATGTTTAATCATGGCTCCTCACAAATGAATGGATTAAATGTCACCTCCCAGCAGTGTGATCCTGGGGTGACCGGTGGTTCCTGGAGAGGGGCCACCGCGGTCGTTATCATGGGGCTGAAATCTCAGACCTCACCGACTGCTAGGACTTGCCCGGGTTTCCACCATCGCCAACGAGCATGGTGCACTCAGGGTTCCCGTCAGCTTGCGTGGGCAGCGCCGTGACGTTTAATTCTTAAAAAATAGCTAGATGAGAAAAACAGCGGTGTTGCAGATCTTTCCATGATACACGCCCAGTGGAATCCGGGCAGTTCCCATCCAAGGGCTTTTGGCTTCATCCAGAGAAGCCACAGAGGCTAAACCCTGGTATCTGTTTCCCAGTGTGTTTTCATAATTTTCTTGTTTTCTCACAGTGCTTAAGTGACATGAGACCCATCTGATGTTCTTTACAGTTTTACAAAGCATTTCTGTATTTCTGGTTTGAGATGGACCCCCCCCCCTCGCTGCCACCACCTCCCCCAGACTGTGTGGAAGATGCTCAAGAATGGTGGAGGGTCTTACTTTTACAACGTAGTTATTATGTTGACTCAAGCTTTACCAGTATTAATTCGGACACAGTATAATAATAACAGAAATTTTATTAGAAAAACAAGTTGTCTCCCCATAAGCCTCTAGTTTGAAAATGGCTTTGGGATTTGTCTCTTTGTCTTACTGCTGCATATGAGAACATTTCAAAAACAAAAAAAGCTGAATTCTGTGAACTGCTTGGATCAAGGGAAAATTTTCCAAGCTATTCAGCTTTCCTGTGTTGTTCCTCAGTTCTGAAGTGTTGACATTATTAATCTGTGAAGCATATTGTCATTTAGAAAGTTTGCCATGATGTGTGTGTCCCCCACGCCCCATCCCCCAATGTATGTTTAAAATAGCTAATAATTTCTTAAACAGTAGAGGTTTTAAAATATGTTGGAGAGGTGCCTGGGTGGGTCAGTCAGCTAAGTGTCCAACTTCGGATCAGGTCATGATCTCGCAGTTAATGGGTTCGAGACCTGTGTCAGGCTCTGTGCTGACAGCTCAGAGCCTGGAGCCTGCTTCAGATTCTGTGTCTCCCTCTCTCTCTGCCCCTCCCTCATTTAGTGCACGTGCTCTCTTTCTCTCTCTCACTCTCTCAGAAATATTAAACGAATAAACTTAGAAGAAATAGGTTTCAGTCTTCGACACTTTTTCTTTCCAAAGATAGAGCCTCATTCACTTCCCTGGTGTGTGTGCCAGACTTACAACTTTCTTCTAATGAATAGAGTGTGACGGAGCAAACCATGTGGTTTTCTAGGCCAGTTCATGAAAGGGCTCACTTCCTCCTGAGCACCCCCCCCCCACGTCCCCAACCTGCTCCATGTTTGTCTTGGAGGAAGCCAGCCACCCTCTTGTGAGGATACCAGGAACCACCGCCAGAATGAATCTTCCAGACCCCATCCTGCCTTCACTCGCCCAATG